CCCCCCCCCCCCGCCCGTCCCCCCCTCCCTCCACTCCCTGGACCCGAGCACAGAGGGCGAACCACATCGGTCCTCTGGCCCAAGGTCACCAAAGAGGCCAACGGAGCATGTGTAATTCGTGCTCCTCTCTCGCGCCGGAGGTGTCCGGCACAACCGCCGTAAGGCATGAAACAGGCCGCCCCCGTGTCCTTCTCTCCGGAGGGGGCCTCTCCCCTGGCAGGGCACCGCCCTTCGACACGGCCCTTGGGGCCCTCCCTCGTGCGATGCGCTGGACGGGCAACAGCCTGGCGAAAGAGCGGCAAGGAGAGGGGGGCGGGCCAAAGGAAGAGAAGGAGGTCCGGCAAGATGCAGAAGGCGGGGCTATGCAACCGGCCAGGGCCGGGGGGGGATGGACAGCGGGAAGAAGGACGCGTGATTGAATGGCGCTCCTTTGTCCAGCATGTGCCCCGGAGGAAGCGCAGGTATTTTCGAAGCAAAAAACCTCCTCCCATTCTCACATATTGGATATTTTGCGCGCGGAATATTCCCCGATTTGTTGTCTTTTCCTCCGGGCTTCTGGCCCGGGAGGCGCGGCGCCATCAACGGCCCATTGTCAGACCATCCCCGGCCTTGGGCGTGGAGGAGAGGCTGAGGCCATTTTATCCTAGGGGCACCCCGAGCCCCATAATAACCAAGCGAGTTACAAGCAGCACGTACTCCCCTTCCGCGAGATACTCGGTTATTCCAAAATAGCGTTCTTCGCTGGGAGAACGCGGAATTGGGCGCACCCAAGAGGCCGCCGGACGCAGGGCCATCACGGAAGCCGAACAGGGGGGGCGCGTGCGCGCGGAGTTGCCGATCTGCCTCTTGGCTGGGTCCAGGCGAGAAAGGGGGCCCCCTATTTGGGAACCTCCTCTGGTAGTGGAGGCTTTGAGGCTAAGCGTGTTGAAGAGTATGTGAAAGCATCCCCCGAAGCCCCTGGCCCCCGGCTGCAACCACCTGTTCTGTTGGGGCCTCCTGTCGAGCCCGCCTTGCTACCCGAGGTGATTGCCATTTTTGCTTGCCCACTAGCTCGTCCACGACCGAGCGACCGCGCTCATCCTTTCGGGCCACAGTATGTGCCGGTTCGGTATGCCCCACCTCTGTGCGCAGAGTAATTTCTAACCGGTAGCCGATTTCCGACACAGCTGCCGTCAAAGTTTCGCTCCTTTGACATTAGACTGGGTCGGCGAGGGCCCTGCTACCATTATGCAAGCGCCTCACACGTCCGGACGTTCGTTAGGAGTCCTCCGATGGTGGCACTTTTGCTGGGAGGCGGGGAGGGGAGCATTTTGCACCGGGAACGAGGGTCTGCCGCCTTCCTGCTTGGGGGGATTCTGTGTGGTGCTTCACACGTCCGGTGCCCTTGACTCGTTCGCCGCCTGTGCATGTGGCGAAGCCCTAAACTGGGTCGCGTGTGTGTCCCTGGTCAATTAACATCACCGAGACACCCACCCGCCACATGCCCAAGGGCAAGGATTGCGGGTCCGTTGTCACTGACTGACTGGACAGACGGCAAGGAGAGCCGGCCGGGGCGTGAGGGGGGGGGGAGCATCGACCGGCGGTCGATGCCCCGGTGAGCCGCCCTCTGCCGACGGATGCATGTGCGTTTGTCCCCTCGCAGCAGGGGTCGTTGCTTGACACCGGCTTGCGGCTTGTGGGGGGGGGGGGGTGCTGGAAGGGGCATCGTGTTCCGGCTTGAGGCCCGGTGGCAGGGAGGCCCCGTTGGCAAGCGCCGCGGCCCCTCCCCCCGGCGCCTCCCGGGGCTGGGAGCGAAGGCGCCGGTCAGATGTCGGGGGGGGCGGGGGGGGGGGGGGGGGGATTTGCACCACACACCGGCCCAGGGCGGACATGCGCGCGACATGGCGGCGACGATGCGCGGCGGCTTCCCGCCTCGCTCTCCCTCGTCCCTCAGTTTGACCGCTGCTCTCCCCCACCCCCCACGGGGCAGATGTGCTTGAGGGATTTTCTCCTGGCCCCGCCCTCCGAGAAGGGGGGGGTCAATCACGGCACCTCTTTCTGCGGGGGATCAGGGCGGGGAAGTGCCAACTGTCGTGCGAGGCGCGACCGTCTGCCGGCAGATCGCGTCCCTGCGGGGCTCCCCCCGGGGGGGGGGGGGGCAAGATTGACACAGGCGCCCGCTGGCGCCGGGCCGGGGGGCCTGCCCCAGTCAATGGTCGGCTCTTCCCGAGAGCAGGGAGGGATGGGACCCGGGAGCGCGTGCAGGACAGACCCGGCGCACCGGTTTGTCGCCCTCTCTTCACGAGGGCCGCGGCCCAGGGAAGTCGGGATTTTTGTCCCCATCGCCCTGGAGTTTTTCCTGGCCGGCAGGGCGGCGACGGGGGGGGGGAGCGCGGGCAGAGAGGGGACCGGAGGAGCCTATTCCCTTTTGCGGCCGGCCGGCGGGGTGACCGGGTGCGGGGGGCCCTCCTCGGTGTACTTGGCTCGGGCTTGGCGGGCCTTCCAGGTCTGAGGTGGCTGGTGACACACCGCCACACGTCTGTGCCCTGCCGGTGGCGTTCCTCCCCCCCCCCCTCTCGCGGTCGGTGGTCCGAGGCCGGCGGCAGCCAGGGGCGAGGGGCCGGCGCCGCCACCGGCGTAGTTGAGCCATGAACGTGGCCTGCCTCGCGCGCGCTTTTTCGTTCCCCTCGCGGGCGGGAGTGGGAGTGGTCGTCCGCACGCTCACCGCCTTCCCCCCCCCCGCCCGGCCCATCTTCACCACAGCCGCGGACCGCGCCTCGGAACGGGTCGCCCCCCCCCCCGACCGGGGAGGGCAAGTTCATGACAACGGCCGGACTTACCTTTTTATTGGCTGGGGGCGTGGCGTGTGCGTAGGTGGACCCGTGCGGTGTGTGACGCGTGCGTGTCCGGATTTGGCAGCACCCCAAGAGCGCAGGTTGGTCTGCCTCCGCCCCCCCCCCCCCGCCCCCCCTGGCCGGAAGGCGGGGGCCACGCCTGGGCTGCAGCCCAGACGCGGCCTGGAGACAGGGACATCTGCGCCCCGGCCGGGGTGCAGCCGTTTCCGATGCCAAGAGCGCCGACTTGGCTTTGGTCCATCCGCCCTGCGGGGCTGGCGGGGCGCCACACACGGACGCATGCCGATGTGCCTTTGCGTGGACCGGGACAGCCGGCGGCCTCGCGGCCCTGTCGGCCAAGCCGATGCTCATCCAGGCCCACGGGCACACATTCACAGGTACCCCAGCCTCCTGGGCGACCACCGCGAGGGAGAGAGGGGCAGGGGCTGAGTCATCTGGCAGCCCGCCCGACGAGGCTGTCCGCCCGCAGAGGCAGGAGGGGCCCTCTGGCGCCCGGACACTCTCCCCCAGGGTGGAAGAAGGGGCGCCGCCGGGCAGGCCGCGCCGGCCGTCTCTCGGGGTGCAGGGGCTCGGCTATATTGTCCGTGTGTGACCGACAGGCCGGCTATTCCGAGGCAGCCAGCGCGGGCAAATGTGCATCTACGCCGCGCGGCGAGGGGCACCACGCCCCCCCCCCCCCCCCCCCCCC